AATTCTTTTTTCTTCTTTTCAGGGAGCTTGACATTTAGTCTTTTCTTCAAGTGAGATCTCAAATAGTAATTTCTTGTCACTTGGTCCTTTTACCAAAGACATCTTCAAAGGTTTAATAAGTCCTTCCTGCACATCTAGAAAAAGTAAAATCTCCAAAATACTCTTCTGCTTTATGATCTGGATATTGTCAATATGTATGTATGTATGTATGTATGTTGTGAATTTCGGCTTTATAAAGAACTCATTGTCTCCAGACTCAAGATAAACTAAATCATCCAGCCTTCCATCCAAATCCAGATCTCTTATTCCAGTTTCTTGTTCTGAAGATTCCCTTAATTCACACTGTATAACATTATCAATATTCTTATTTTCAATATCCAATTTTATTTGGAAATCAGTATCACTATCAAATCTGTCTAATTTTTTCTCAAAGGCTTCAAATTTAGTGTCTATCACTTGTAGAATTCTAGTAGTGAAATCTTCCAGTAAATGTGTAAATGTCTCTTTAAATTCCCTTTGCTGAACTCCAATTGTAACAAGCAGTGCACACAGGAAAAAAAAATGGGTAAAATGCAAGGTCTCAGAGTACTTTTGTTTACAAATCTCCACCAATCAGCATTGCAGCAGAATAAAAAAAAAAAGCAGGTTCCCCACAAAAATGTTTAACCAGCAATCTCAAGCTCCAATCTCACAAGTACAGATTCAACAAAATTAACTTTTTAAAATTAAAAAAAAATCACTTGTTTCATAAAAACAAGCAATAATTCAGCTCTTCAACTCTTTGCTCAATATATAAATCCCAAAGTCCAAATCAGATTTTTTTTTATTTTTAAATAAGTATTGAAAATATGAAAAACACCAAGAAGATAGACTTACCTGTTGCCGAAAAAAGCCTCTCCATCTAAAAGAGCAATAAACCATTTAAAATGTGTTTTAGAAATGGGGAGGTTAGTTTTAGTGTCCTAAATTTCAGCTACACCACAGCCTTGAACAGGATGGAAAAGCCCCCTCTCCCAGCCACTCACTGCAAGTCGATCACAAAGACTTTTGCTTCGGGGTATCTTTGCAAGAAACAGCTGTCCAGAGAGCATCTGGGTTGATTTCATGGATTCTCCTTTGCATCCGGAAAATTCTTTGGGCTACAGGGATCCTGACCTAGCCCCAAAGACTGTGGTGTCAATTCCCGGATAGAGGAATCGGTCAATCTGCCATGAATCCTCCACCGGAAGCCCTCAGCTCTTTCAAAATTTCCATTGATAGTTTTGGATTATTGCTTCTGAAAAAACTTTTAATGTATACTCATCGATGCCATTTTTTCTGTGTTATTTCCTGTTACAGATTAGACACTTCCATGAACACCTATATCACATACTTAGAGTTTTGGAAAGATTAAGCATATTTTGAATTGTTTCCCTCCACAGGCAATTAGCCACTATTTGCCAAGACAGGATTCCATCCTGAAGCCTTTCATTTATGAAATGGTTCTGCATGAATTTCTGGAGAGCGATTATGAGGTACAGTATTATTTGTTGTAAAACTACTGAAACAGAGCAGTGGCTTAATTCTAAGCGTGTCATTGTAGTGGTAAAACAGGTTAGGATGACGCATGCAGTCTACCAATAAGATGCATAAGGGGCCATTACTGCTAACATGGGAAAGATTTTGTGTTAGCCTGGCAATGTAATCAGTATCATTTGGCCAGCATCTGTCAGTATGCTTCAAGAAGCAAATGCCCAGTAGTAGCATTTGCTTTTGAGAAATGGACAGTAACTGCTCTTGCTACATTTCTAAAGCACTGGACGGTATTACAACTCTGTATATTCTGTGTAGGTTAGTCTCAAGAAAATGAAAAAGCTCTGTAATGCATCCAGTCCATTAAGAAGATCCTCCAGAAAACAGGAAGAAAGCATATGTATTCTGGATGCAGACGACAACCCTTGCACTTTCTGTCCTTCCCTTGGAACTGTGGAGGCCATTCCTAATAGGACTACAATAGTACAGTATTAAAAAGGAAAAAAGATTGCTTTGCTGGATCAGTCCAAGGTTCATATTGCCCAGATGACAATGATGATTTCTGTTATTCTGTTAGTGGACATAAGGAATGCATTTGATCAACCTAAAGGATCCAGCTTTCTGTTCAGATACTGGCCAACCAGATGCTTAGGGAAGGCCAGTAAGCTGGCTGGAAGGCAGTAAAACTGTTTGTTCCTCACCAATTGTTATTCAGCGATCCCGTTTTGTTTTGTTTAAATGAGTATGGAATGGTGTATAAAAGTGGTTTATTTCTATGTGCCTATTGATGACTGATTTGTCTGAATGCCGAACTACATGAATTCCCTAATGTTTTTGGATTTTGAATATATAATCATCATGGTGAATAGCTTTTGGTAGGGTTTGTGTGTGTGTGTGTGCACGCCTTAGAGTCAGTGTTGACTCTTGGTGACTGCCTGGACAAGTCCCTGCCGTTTTCTTGGCAAGGTTTCAGAAGGGTTTGCCACTGCCTCCTTCCTAGGGCTGAGAGAGAGTCCTGGCCCAAGGTCATCCAGCTGGCTTTGTGCCTAAGGCGGGACTAGAACTCTGGTCTCCAGGTTTCTAGCCTGATGCCTTAACCACTACACCAAACTGGTTCTTTGGTAGTTCTGTTCCTCATGAATTGTTCTATTACCTGTTAAAAGTTATCCAATTAAATGGCTATCACTCTAACTTGTAGCCCTCCCAGAGGATTATCATATTGACATCGTGGGAGGGCTCAATAGCTCTAATAAAACCGAGAAAGGTGTTGATAGAGTCACCATGGCTGGCAAGGTTGAAGGGGGACACTAAGGGTTATCCACAATGGGAGTGGGATCAGGTGAGGATCTGTAGATGTAGGGACATGCAACACACCTTACAGAAAGTACAAATGGGGAAGAAGGCAATGGAAAACTCTTTGCTAAGAGTTGCTATTGTTGTTGTTCTATTGTTGTTGTTCTATTGCTAAGAAAACTTTATGGATGTAGCTGAAATATTTAGACAAATGTGGCTGTTTGACATTGAGATCTTGAGGTTAAAAGGCTTTTCTTTAGTTACTGAGAGAGAGAGCATAGACCTTTTTTGAGTGATCTGGAGGAGATGCAGCCAGACCAAAGCAACAAAGAAGATTAATTAGTGAAGGGCCATATTAAAATAAGAGTCTCTTGTTTTACAAGGACACATACAATTGTAATATGAAAATTGAGAAGGATGAACCAAAGAAAACTTGAAATTGTAAAAGTGGAAATGCAGTATACTAAACTTAGTATTTTAGGAATAAGTGAATTTAGATGGACTGTAGATGTTAGCCTTGCAAGGTAGTCCATACAAGATTGGGTAGATTGGAAATTTTAAATAATTAAATCCCTAATATCTATATTATACATGAGATGTTGAATTGTACAGACTGAATTATTATAATCTTCCCCCCTCCCATTTTAAAACTTTTTGATTCACTTTTCTGCCTCAATAACAAGCCAGGGGCTTCTTGGTTTTCGTCAAAAGATCATGAGGTTGATGGCATTCCCATAGCTCTTGTCTTCAGTATTCAGAGGTACATTGAATATTGACCTTAATATTCAGAGATAAACTTCCTCTGAAAATCAACATCTTATATTGATAGCCGTAAGAAATCAAGCTGCTTGTAGCATATAGACACTTGCTGAAGCAGTGAATATTGTAGGTAGCGTTAAATAAAACACAGTTATTACTAGATATATAAAGGGTCCTAACACATTACATTTGTACCCATACTTTCAAGGGAGCTTGGTGTACATGGAATTACATAATATCCAGTATTCATGTATGTAATCTTTCTACCCTTTGAATCTTACCAAACTAAATAAATATTTACATGTACTTTAACAAACTTTATTGTAAATTATTTTATCTTATGAAAAATTAACATATTATATGTGCATTGCAGTAATGTAAAAATACCAGAAAGATAACTTCTGCAGCTGCAGTAACAAAAAGATGATCAAATGAGCAAATAAATGCAAGACTAATCAGTAGCCTGTTTTACCATGATCCTGGAAGTGCATTATAACTGTTCTTGGAGTTACAATAACAAGAATATTACTTTGTTTGTATGTGCAATTATTCTATAGCATGATAATTTAATTCCACTTCGTTATTGATAATAGTAAGTCATGACTCTTGTTCTCTAGATTCTCTATGTAAGATCCAGCATGCCCGAGCAAAAATTGGTTTTCCAATAAAGCAATCTCTCATATAAAGCTTTTAATTAATTGCATTGAGTGTGCACAGGCAACCAGTTCCGAAGCAATGGTATACCAGAGTGTGAATATAAACTGCTTGGTAAGCCAGTCATTGGGTAGACCATTGCCCAGCCTCTGAGGCCTGGAGATTTTGTCACTGCAGCATCTGAATTCTAAGGAGACCACAAGAATGGCATCACACCCTCATCACTTGGCAAATAAAAAAAT